TGAAATACCTATTTCTCTCCTATTTTGAGGTTACCTTAGTGTTAATTGACAAATTTTAAGCCTTTCTATATTTATGACGACAAGTGTTGATCAAGATAACTGTACCAGAAACAAACAGTCTGATTCCTGGAATATTTATGATGGTAACCAATGATTTAGTTTCCGTAAGCACAACAATTGCAGACCGAGGCCTCTTGTCCATAATTTATGCAGGTTACTGTTGACAGAGTTAAAAAATATACTAAAATTTCCCAGACTGAACACATTCTAACCCCCCCAACAGATTCATAGTAATAAATAATGACAACATAATGAGGTCTCAATTCTCATACAAACTTAATCATTATTATCAAAACCTTAACCAGGTACATTTGCTAAAACTACAAACAAGTACTAAATCATTTATAGAAGTTTATATTATTTTTACCAGAGATAATATTATGCAAAATGATACATTTTACTGTTCATATCGAAGTTATCTGAAATAAAATTCACCATCGTAGATAATGGGTAGGCTATGATAGATCCACTCCTGAGTGGTAAGTTGTCTTGCTGGACTTTCAAGTCTGTCCAACTGCGTAAAAATTTTTATCCTTTGGAGTGGTTTTTACTCAATTTTGGCTCTAAAGTCCACCTGAATTTCCATAAGACAAGGACAATGTGCAGAGCCTATGCAGCCATTATGAAAAAAAAACACAGGAATACAGGAATCAACAACAAGTTAAAGGCAACGTTCACAGTACGCCAGCCCCCCCCCCCGGACCACACCCAAGAAGGGCACCCAGAAGGCACCAAAACAACAACCTGGAGTGGACATAAGGGCGGGCGAAAGGGAAGGGACATGTAATGTGTTTGAAAAGATATTAACTAAAACAGGCCCAAGGAATTAAAGGGATAAGGGTGAAAAGGGGAGGGGGTAAAAATATGAGAGGTGGGTGAAAAAATACTTACCGTAAACGACAATCATTCACAAAACATGGTAAACATTTAAAAACCAGTAACAATACAGACATGAAAAACAAGTGTTTAAGAGGGGTACCGCCTTGGAACGGTCAGTGGTAGTTTAAATACCACTGGGGAGTTTTTAACGCCAAAGCTCAATGCGAAGATCAAGTGTCAGACAATTGTGTGTCCACTCTGCCAACTGTTTACCCCTTGAAAGATTTTCAAAAAGGTCATATGCAGAGCCTATGTTTTCTCAAGATCAAAATAACAGTTCAAAGGCGATTGCCACACAACTTCTTGTCCACTATAAATATCTTTTATTTTTATACGCCCGTTTGAAAAAACGGGTCACAAAATGTTCACCATTGTGAGGCAGAGTGTCGCATTGCAAAATTTTTGGTCTCTAGCTGCGGCCAAAGTCAAGTTCATACATAGGGGTCAAAGTTCAGATAGAAATATGAAAATGTGTATTTGGGACCATTTAGTCATCATTAAATTGAGGGATTGAAACATAAATGTCATTATCATGACTACGGGTGTGAAACATGTAATTTAGGTTAATATATGCAAGGTCAAGGTCACTAAAGGTGATAAAATATAGAGATTTTGTCCAGAGCATATCAGCTACACATATGGAGTGATACTAATGAGACTTCATAGACATATTCGCCACTATAAGAGGCAGTGTTATGCACATAAGCCAGGTCTCTAGGTCAAAGGTTCTAGGTCCCACTTAGAGGTCATTGAAAAACACTTGGTCCGGAGCAAAACTTCTACATGCATAGAGGGATTTCAATATAACTTGGCACAAATGTTCATCATGGTGAGGCGGAGTGTCACGTGCAAAATTTAGTCCTTGTGGCCAAGGTCAAAGTCACACATTTAATGTAAGGGTCAAAGTTCTGATAAAAATGTGAACAAATGTAAACATCAGCAAGGGAATGTGCAAAACATAGCCGCCGCTGTTCTCAAATGAGTTTGTGTCATCAACCCGATACCTAGCTATTGTATGATTTTCTTAAAACTTACTTTACACCTCATTAATGCTCAGATCCTATGCCACCATTGTGCAGGATCGAAAACTTTTCTGGCCGCAAAATTAATTCGGTACTCTTTTGTAGTTTTTTCTCTAACCCTGTATGGTCATGGTCACCTTTTAGGTCAAATGTAAGACAATTTTGTGTCCTCACTTGAAGGACTTTCTTCAAACTAGCGTTCTTAATTATTATTTGTCTAAAGAAATAACTGGGCCTACATAAAATCATTTGCTATAGATGGAATGGGTTGTTTGACTCTCTTGTGACAGATCTAGTTAAAATTTGCAGGGACTTCGGATTTCATTATTGAGATATATTTTTTTTCTAATTTCTTATGTCAGAGAGAAGAGAAAAAAATACATAACACACACTGTCAAAATGATTTAAGATTCAAATTAAAGTATGTTTAAAGTTTTTAAATATTTGCTCTGTGATTAAATGTGCCAGATCAATACTAGATCTATATTTATCTTGAAAGATCATTTTAACTGCCCTTTACCCGACTATTCAAAGAGGTATGCAAGTTTTTGCTTGCTGGTTGGTATCTCCAAATTTACTGAATACACCGGAGCATAATAGCTTTAAAAATCATGATTAAACTTGAAAAATGGTCGCTATGAAGTTATAGATCCAAACTGTAACCTGATACTACACCAGTCGCTTATTTGATTATGTGTTGAAATTTTAATAAATCGCTTTTAAACATTCATTATTTCAAAATGGACGGACTGTTTTCTTATAGACGTTTAAGCAGAAATGTGCAACGTGCAATAGAAAAAAATCAACTTTGCTCTCTTTCGTGGCAAGAAAAAAATCGATTGACGACTTGCGTATGCAGCATGTTCAGTTTCATTCAAAATTTGGTAACAATCCAGACAAGGCGAAAATTTCCGAAAAAACCTACGATCTTCTTAATTTTCTGGGATATTCGAAGAAGGAATCAACAGACAGGGTGAGAGTTTTTAACAAAATATCGGAAGCAATGAGACGGACTTTTATTGCACTCTCTGGTTACACGCATATAAAGAAAATTCTGGTTGGCAGCAAACGTGAAGGGATTTCTCTTCTGAGAGAAAGTGATACAGATTTAATGTTTGTATTTGAGAATATTTTGTGTATTGACACAAAGAAAAGATATCATCCAACGAAAGGAACGGATGAGTTGTTAGTTTACACTGATAATCGAGAAACGCCGCCTGGATATACATTACTATGTCTCCATGAAGATATTACTACCAATCAAAAGTTTGTTACGGAATCGGTAGTAAGGAAGAACGAAAAAATGTATCTATCTAGTAGCTTATTTCTTGAACAAAATGGAAAAAATCTACGCGCAAATACAGGTTGGATCGGAAGCTTATCTATAAAGCTTCCAAGGCGTGGTCCATCTTTACCAGAAACACTGAAAACAGCCGACTGGTATGATCATATTTTGAAATTATTCAGTGGAGAATCTTTAATCAGCAAAAAAGATTGCACTCCAGCTTTGAAGTTTAAATCCGCATCTGCTGTTAACGAATGGGCAGACAGGAAAAGACCTTACAACTGGCCTACCAAAAGAGTGATCAAACATGCAAAGTCTATCCAATTGTTCCTCGTTCCAGTCGGCGAGAAAGGGTCACCTGATTCAGATTTACAATGGCGTATAAGTTTTATCCTGATTGAGATATATTTGGTTCATCAATTTAGTGATATGCAGATTAAAGTTCTTGTTGTCTTGAGATGGATGGCGCAAAAGGTTTTGAAGCCTATTTACGAAGAAATGTCTTCATATGTTATGAAAAATATTGTGTTTTGGTTGTCAGAAACAGCCAACCTTAAAGAAGGAAGTATTTTGGATCATCTGAAAACTTCTCTTACTCTGCTACTCAAGTTTGTAAAAAAACGACATCTGCCTTGCTATATGCTTCCCAAAAGAAATCTTCTTGTCTGCATGGATGATGAAACACATGCGTTACTTGCGTGGAAACTAGAGTCAATATTAAAAAATGAAGTCATGGAAGCATGTAAATATTTTGTTTGGGATAGACACTTCGAACAACAAAATGATGAATGCCTCTCGAAGTCCGAATTTTCTCGCTACTTGAAGGCCTCTATAGAGGAATTGAGCTCGATCGCGATTGGCTGCAACAAATGCTCTACTGCAATAGGTGCCCAATGGTATCTTGCTAAAGAATATGCAAAAATCGAAGAAAGAAGGACAACGTTGGCGGGCTTATATGCAAAGGCTGAGAAGCTTGTTCGTGAAATAAACTTAAAAGGTGAAGTGCTTCTGCAGGCGGAACAGTTGGGTGACGTCGATGAAGACAAATATTTTCATATAGAAGCAGAAGATGTAGAATCTTTTTTATGCGAATTAACTCTGAAAAGAGCCATGTACGAGCATTCATAATATATACAATAACATGTATGCATAAGTAAATAACTAATTACATAGCAAGATGACGTGACTACAAGTATTTCTTTTCTTTCATTATTATAATGGTTACCATTGATTATATATTTAATTTACAAGTTATTTACTTTTTGAGAGATTCTACATTCAAATATATAATAATAAAAAACAAGATTGCATTTGAGAAAAATGCTATGCCACCGCAATAATACAACACTAAATAGTAGTGTAGGAACAGATTTTTTTGTTTCTTTACAATTGAAGATTGTCATAATGCATATCTAATTCTTATTATCAGATTAGTGGTTAAATCTATTGTTAACTCAATAAAAGATCAGAGTAGGAATATATCAATGCACTTGAGTCTAGTGAATTTGGTAGTGAAGGTCATATTTCACACAGCCTAAAATTTCATGACTGCATCAAAGGACAACATGTAATACACTTTGTCAAAAACTAGGTCAGCTGATATCAAAGTTCACTTTTAATTTTGACACTAGAGGCAAAATTTGAACAACTTTGGTAGAGTACCTATAGATGATATCGTTTAACAAATATTAAAGCTCTAAGACTTGAACCTTCAGACAATAAGATTTTTTTTGATTTTTTACTTTATGTATATATTGAAAATCAATGACCCCGGGGCGGGGGCAATTTTGACCCCAGGGCTATTATTTGAACATTCTTGCTAGAGGTTCACTTCATAATGTTTCATGCAAAGAATCTAACCTCTAGCATTTGTCAATTGCTAGAAGATTTTTTTTTAAAGTTTTTACTATATATAAGTTTTTACTATGTAAATATGAGGAAAATCAATGGCCCCCGGGGCCGGGCCGATTTTAACCCCAGGGCTATAATTTGAACAATCTGGGTAGATGTCTACAATGCCTTATGCAAAATATCTAAGCTCTAGGCCTATGGGTCTTTACAAAAAGGTATTTTAAGTTTTTACTATATGTACATATAGTGAAAATCAATGACCCCGGGGCAGGGCCGATTTTGACCCCAGGGCTATAATTTGAACAATCTTGGTAGAGGTCTACCAGACAATGCCTTATGCAAAATATCTAAGCTCTAGGCCTTTTGGGTCTTTACAAGAAGATTTTTAAAATGTATTCTTATAATTCCTTTTGGTTGCCATGGCAACCAGATTTCTGCATGGAATTAAATTAAAAGCTGACTTTTCTTATCTCACTTTCTCGTATTTCTTTATAGTATATTTTATTTTTTTTGTTGAAATTATGATTTAGAAACTTATTTATGTCTTGTTTTTGTTGGAGAGTAGATCACTTTTTGTTTGTTTTTTTTGTTGTTATTAGATATATTAGTTATGATCTTTGTTAATGAGGAAAATACTACTACTTTAACTATTTAGAGAGAAAAGAATATCATACTTTGTTACCATAGTAACAGTAATGAATTCTTAAAAAAAAGGAGCATACTTTTTGGAAACAGGATACACTTTTTCTATTGTTGCTTGTTCTAGTTTTTAATGTTGGTTTCATGGAGTTAAAAATGGCAAAACATGCATGCATCAGAAGATACTTATATAGAGTAATACTTTATTCATTCACACAAGCTAGTATATCATTGTAGTTACATACGGTATTTGGGAAAAAAAAGAAACATTTTCCAATTGTCTCAACAATTCTAAATGCTAGTAACATAAAAAAAAGTTCATTCTATTTTCAGAGACATTATAGTTTTCAAGTATGAATGAAAGTATTCATAGAAATTTTTAAGTAACAAAAAAAACTGTTTGGGAAAGAAAAAGATCTGTTTTATAAATATTGCTTCTTCATTTTCTTAAACTATAGTAGATATTTCACAATTAATTAAATGAAAAGATTTATAAAAAACTTACTGCAATATATGTAACATGGATATAGTCACATTTCTGTTCCCCTATCTCTGCTAACATAAAGTTTTTATCAACAATATGTGCTGTGTATGTCTGTTATTTTTGAATGACTACATGTATGTTCTCATATTTTTCAAATCTTAGTTTTAATATTGATGACAAAACATGAACGTGTTCAAATAAATGTAAATAACCAAAATAATGTTGTTTATGTCTTCAGAAATCCTACACACATAGTTTAACTAATATAGTCTTTTACCTTATTAGGTTTTATCCAGAAAGAGTTGAATCTGTTACTGGCACTTCATTGTCCGAGAGGTTGAGATCGTGACTTCAAAACCACTTGCCCATCACCCTTAAGTTTCAGTCCTGCCAGGGACTTTTGATTCCTTCATTTGAGGAAGCTATCTAATTTGCATATAAAACGTCAGTGGATCTACTCGGGTGCCCAATGGATGCCTTAATTAATGCAAGGAATGACACCTGAGGTCATCCTCCACAGTAAAGTCGCCATATGACCTATGCTAGTAAAACAAGGGACAAAAGAATATACTTCTGAAAGCGCCATCAATTTTGTACGGTCAACATCAGTTACAATTGTTACCAGTGAATCAACTGGCTTGTCATCACTAGAATGTCCACCTGGGACCTTGGATTTCTGTCACACAGGAAGTTACTCAACTAGCTCCCAAAGTGTGTTTGAAATAATGTACAGATAGTCAGTTTTTGTTATCTCTTTTTAATTCCATTTTAGATGACTGGATGTAAAGCCGAAATATTAGAAAAGAGTATTGTTATGATTACAAGAAGAGAAAACTACAAGTCTACAAGAGACCATTATATGATTAGAAGTTCCGAAACAAGAACAATATTGAACGTATATTTAATTAAGACAATAACTGTGTAAGTTGCAGAAAGAACATAAACTTCGTGGCGATGTTGTCAGTAAAGTTGAAACCTTCGACTTTCATGTTTAAATCAAGTCTTTGTGTAAAACAAGACACTTTAAGCGTGAAGTAAGGTCCTAGGAAGAATCAAAGACGTAAATGGCCTCCTGACAGATACGTTACCACCATTGTTGTAACAGTAACAGTTGAACATTTCAAGACGTTTTTTTTTTCATGAAAAGTGCCAACACACGACTTGCAAATCTAGTGAAAAAGACCATCGAAAACAGCAGGAGAAGGCTTTTTAACCACTATGCAATACTTTGAAAGTTATTGGAAGAATAACATTTTTTAAATTTAAATGTGACTAGGTGTAGTCAAACTTATGAGCATTATGAGAGACATAGAGATGTGGAAATTACTCTTATATCTCTTTTTATAATAAAGAAGAAAACATAAATAGGTTAAACAAGATGTGATGGCATTCAAAGGTGAAATATTTTTTAAAGCAACCTAAATGATACATGACATAAAATTGACATTTTGTACATATAAAATTCTAATTTTGAACCATTACTATAGACATTACTACAGATCACTTTCAGCATTATAAACGAAGATTTATTCTTAATTTACTTAAGTGTTTTGCAATATAGATAGTTGGACAATACTGGCGATGATAAATGTAGTTATTTCTACTAAATTATGTTAAAAGTGATAGTTTGCATAACATTTATGGGTGATATTTCATAATTTGGATGAATGAGACTTTGGTAACGTACAAATACGTTAAATAACACAGCAAAAGACTATATAATGAGTTACTTTCAGAAGTTGAGTATATTACCAGGTGCAGTGTTTGTTCCTACGGATTTTAGGAAAAATAACCGAGTTTGTTCTCTTTATTTTCATAAATCTTTCAACAATAGTTAAAAAATGCTAGAATAATGTCAATGTAATTGATGTAACGTATGTTACATTTTGCTTTTAAAATGTCTAAAGTGATTAAGTTTCTTTATTTATATAAGCTTATGTGATATAAATATTATTTGAACCTCTTTTTAATTGTAAATATTAGGTATTTTTAAGATAATGCAATTTGAACGTTTTGCATTATTATTATGAGTGGGTGGGGTAATAATCGTCTGTGTCACAAGTGAATAAATAGTAAAAATAAGGCCAGACCTGTTATTATTCATTGCAAATTCTATTTTTATGAACACCAAATACATACTGGCTAAAAAACTACCAATCTATAACAGAGAAAGACAAGACAATCGCCATATATTAAACATTATAACAATATTATATTACGATTTTTATCCCTGGACAGGTACTCTTAAACTACCTGCCAAAAGTCAAGTTTCCGAAGGTATATTTTTTTAGGGTTTTACTACAAGGTCCATGCATATATATTGATTACAAAATACTAAAGAAAGCTTGTGTTGCAATTTGTTTGATGTCAAGCTACATATACTCATAACTTTAGTGGCCTAAGAGGGGCATCTGAGAACTTTGTTCCTCAGTTTTGATGGAAGGTCCACATATGGCCTTTACAGTGTTTGTTGTATAATTTGTTCATCGTAGACCAATCCATTTAATAATGGGTACCTATGATATAGATCCAGTGGGTAAGTTGTCTGCTGTTTTTTTCCGTATGTCCAACCTTTAAATACTTTATCTCTTGAAGGACTTTACTCAATCTTGATTCTAATGTCCACCTGAACAAGGCAATGTGCAGAGCGTATGCAGCCATTATGTAAACTCAATGTTAAGATCAAATGTCAGATAATTTCGTGTTCATTATATCAACCATTTACCCCTTGAAAGATTTTCTTATATCTTAGTTGAAATCTTCACATAAAAAGTGATATGCAGAAGCCATGTTTTCTCAAGGTCAAAATAACAGTTCAAAGGCGATTGTCACACAATTTCTTGTCCACTCCATAAATCTTTAACCCTTTGAAGCATTTTTTCCTCAACCTTATCTCAAATCTCAACATCTACTACATGTGGGAAATGGACAGAAACTATGCCACCGCTGTGATGACTGAATACCCAAGGTCTTTTTTGACAGTTAAATATCAGTTTCGTGTATGTGTCTACTCTATAAATCATATATCCCTTGCATGATTTTCTTCAACTTCAAAACATAAGCATCAGCAAGGAAAAGTGCAAAGTTTCAAAGTTTATTTTCAACACACATGACAATATGAGCTATAGCATATTAACGTACATTACATAAAGCATGAAAAATAATGATATTAATACAATTCATCTAAATAAAATGGAGAGAAACACGCATTTTCAAGGACATGATGAACAAATATGTAGAAATGTTAACTATTCTCAAATTTTGTGATTATTTCCTTAACAAATGAACAAAAAAAAATTGTATTCATTCATATTCATTATAGATTTAAAAGTTGATATATTTGGATGTCTTAAATAATTATGATCTAACATTATTTTTCTTAGTACAGATAATTCATTGTATTCAATGCAAAGAGATAGTGAAATTCATCTCCAATACTTCCAGAGCTGTTACAAAGAGTACATTTACGTACATTTAAATCTATACCATTCCAACTTC